CCTCTCCGAACCTCTCCCTCTCCTCTCCTTTTCTCCAGTAGTCAATACTTCTCATTTGGATTCTGTTCAGATTTGGAATAGAACTCCAAACTTCAGCATTGTCCACAAAACTCTGGGTGGCCTGGCACCACATATGACAAGCTGGCATGTTATGTAAAAGCCCTGAGGCCCTTATGAGGCTACAGGATGTCCTGCTGAGTAGCGTAAGGGATAACAGCAATCTTGAAGGAAGATAAGTTTTCTGGTGGCAGTCACCTTGAAATAGTAGAATTTAAAAGGCCAAGACAATTTTTTTTCAGAGGAAACCTGCAAAAAAATAATTCCATCTCTACAAAACGTTTAAATTTAGAAGGCAGCAAATTTATGCCAAAGAAAGGATTTTACTTTAATCTTTTCCAGGTAGCTCTCGTAGACACTGCTGTTTCTGAATAACGTGAATAATAGTTTTCTTTTACAAAACCTGTTTAGCTTAAATATGAATAGCTAAAGTTGGGAGCTCTGTAATGGCATTACATTACTGTCATCTCCAGGAGTTAATTACGATGAGCAGTCCCACCCACTTTTAGAAGCAGATAGACAGGAGGAGAATAGAGGCCTTCAGAGCTGGGAGAAACGAAGCGACGTAAGCGAGGGGAGAAGAATAAATGCTGAAACATGCACTTCTGGGTTAAGCATGGCTGTGAGTTCTAGGAATAGAGATATCAGAACTCTGCTTTGTGAATTTAAATGGTTTAGAGTTATTTAAAATAAGGTAAACAATAAAGGGCAGCTAGCTGCGCTGATAGGTGTGCACACTGCTGAGCTACTTGGCAGCATTTGGAAATTAATTGCTTGGGTTCTGTAAGCACTTGAGCAAAGTGAAAGTGGTGATGTGGTAGGCGATAAGAGAAATACAGACGAGAAATACAGGCAAGAATGATAGAGGTTAAGTGCCATAGTGAGAATCAAGCTCTTCCTTTCCTGTTTCACTTTTCCTCCCTCTTCCTTTCCCAGCTTCTGCTGTGATGTCAATAGCAGTGGGTGGTTTGGAGGAAATGCTTTCAAAAGTTAGTCTCCTCTGCTCCCACAGCTTGGACAGAGAGCAGGAGAAACCCCTTGCAGCTTCCTGGGGGACTTGAAAGGAGCTTAGCACCCCTGCGCTGCTCATGCTGATTCATTACAAGTGTACGTCACTGGTAGGATCCCAGATTCCTTACGGTGCATCCCATACTGTGAGGAAAGCATAAGACTGTGCCAGTCACTTTACCATGATCACTAGCTTGTTTGCTTGTTTTAGTTTTTAACACTCTTTGATTTAGAGTGCCAACTAGAAAATCTCTAAATTAGTTTATTTGCATTTTGAAACTATCTGTAAACGGAGCTGCTTTTTTGGTTTGGGTTTTGGTTTTTTTTAATCATTAAGGTCACATAAAACTTGCAGAGACAGCAATCTCTAGGGCTTGTTTATGCCTGCCAGAATTATGAAATAAATACTTTGTCATAAAAAAAAACGCATTCACTGGATATTCAATTACTCATGGGTACCAGTTAGTGAAACAGAGTGCCAGTAACTCAGCTCCAGTTAGCTAAAAAGAACAGAATGCTGAAAAGGTAAACACCTGTATTAATAAATGCAAGCAAACTGCACAATATTGACATTTTCCCTGAGTCATTTTCCTTAACTCTCCAAATGTGAGGAAAAGGCCAAACTCAGGCTAGTAAAGTAGCTTTTTAATTTTAATAGCCAGTTGTTTTAAATGAGATTATAAGAAAGCCTACATCTCAGAGTTACTGTTGCTAGACTTTTTGCGCTCTTTAGAAGTAAAACATAGCCATCAACAGGAAGATGTGTGTCCCATTCTTCTCTTGCATCATTTCAGCAGCATAGCGAAAAGGAGTGGTTGCTGGCTCCTCTTTCTGTGACAAAGTTGTTTATTCTCAGCACCAAAGGAAATCAAAACCAGAAGCTAAATACTTACTGGGGGAATGAGACGTGAGAATTGATGATGTTCTTTTCCCTGCTGCTTCCTGTCATAATTATTTCCATTTTATTTTGTGAATGTATTCCATGGTGGAGGGTTATGCATGGAGAAGTGCAGTAACCCGAAGCGCCCTGGCTCCCTCATGCTTGCAGACTTTCTGAAATGCCTTCTGGCTAAAAGTGCATTTCCAAACAATTTCATCTCTGTGCTAGTAATATGGAGGGGAGAATATTCTGATAAAAAAATTATCTAGTCAGTTCCAAGTTAGCCTTTTGAAAGTATCTGTCCTGCAGTAGCTGTTTCTTGAATTCAGAGCACTGTTGATGCAGTTTCTGTCTTGAGATGACTGCTGTAATGCAGATTTCCAGAAGTAACATAACTGGAGGAACTGAAAAGCTCAATTTTTGTAAGATTTGCTCATGATTCTTGATTATAGCAATGTCCTACATCACTTTGAAGACCGATTAGATAATATTGGAGTGAGAAAAAAATCAAGAAAAAGTGTGGGAATTTGGACTTTGTTAAGGGGGAAAAACAGACTCTGGTTTTGTACATATTTTGTTAAGAACAGGCTGAGCTCTGATGATAATAATACAGGGTCAAGCCTTCTGCTGCCACAGGCAATGGCGCTGTACAGCTCTGTGCACAAACATTTTTGTCTTGTTGTGCATTCTTCAGATGTTATGGTTTGCCTTGCTTTTGGTTCTCCAGGTGTATCGGTTACCTGTGCAGGACTGCCACAAATATTCGGACTGTGAGAAGTGTGCCCAAGCGAGGGATCCATACTGCGGCTGGTGTGTGAGAGAGGGCAGGTGAGTGCTGCCGGTGTCTGCTCAGGTGCAGGCGGTGGAATAGCTCAAGTTTTGACACGTGCTATGGGTTACTGCTCGACGTAGTGATCTCAGCATTTTGTACTCAGCCTAACACTCCAGATAGTGATTTAATTTTATTCACAAAGACATTAATATCAGTATTCTATGCACACAAAAAAAATCCCCGTTTACTTATGCAGATTTGATTAGTTTGGGAAAATATATACTTTTCTGCTGATGCTGAGAATGATTATACATTTTCTAACTGTATGTTTTATCTCTCTTTGAACTGTACAGTCAAATGTTCTTCCAGATAATAAAAAAATGCTCCCTATTTCAAACTCAGAAAATATAGCATGTATTTTAAGTAGATCAGTAAAGTGCAAAAAAGAACACAAATGGAAAAACTGTTTCATGTCTAAAATAAAGTGTGTAGCTCAAAAGCTGGTTTTATATAAACTTCATCTATCAAGACATGAGGCTACAGAGGACCCTCACCTACCTGTAGGAGAGCAGAAAGTGGTATTTGGCTGACTATCTGCAGAGGTTCACTGCAGAATGAATATTCAAACACATGTAAACTAGGACAGCACTGAACTGCTCTGTAATGTCTTTTCTTTGCACTCTGCATTGATTGGAGTGCCGAGAGGGAAAAGCGTTCCTGCAGTTCTCTTTTTGACTAAGTTAATTAACCCCTTGGCATGAGTGGTTGGGAATTCGTGATTCTAACTTCTTGCTGTTGGAACAAAGGGGATGTTTGATTATAATATGCAGATGAATTTCAGGCTTCTACCTTCCTGCCTGAAAATGTGAACTATTGCGTTAGGTTACCTATCAGCCTGATGTAGCATAATATGGAGCACTGCAGAGAAACTTATGCAGTGTGTGCAGGTTTATGTAATATACTGTAAATCCTCCAGCCTGGGTTTCAGTTGCTGTGGATGAAACCTGAGAATCTGGAGTATAACCTCAAACTCCTCCTGGGCTGCTGGGAGTTGAGGGTTGTGTCATATATCATAAAAAAGGCAATTTTCCCTAGATTTCCCTTCAGGTTTCTGATATGACCACTGACCTCAATATTTCAAAATATTAATGGTTTCTGAGAAGAGGCAAACATGAATTTTCACATTTGCTAGTATTTATTTTGGATGGGGAGAAAAAAATGTTTCATTTCTATGTTTAAATGTTTAAAGTCTGTCTCATGCTCACACACAGCACTTAGTAGTGTGTTTAGGGATGTGTTATGTGAATGTAGACTGTATGTAAATTATTTGTTTAAAGGAGTTTTGACAGAGCTGTGCAACAACTGCACTGTGTTAAAGCCCCTGATGATTTAGTAGTCTTCTGCTGCAGCAACCAGAGGTTCCACAGCATTTGCTCCTAAACTTTGCACAGAATGGAAAGAATATGCATGAGACTGTCCCTACACACACTTCAACAAACTTTTGTATCCACATATGCAACTTCTGTACTGCAGCATCTCTTCTTCCTGTACTTGAGCTGGGAAAATCTCCCAGTGTTTTTGGTGCGGCTGCACAGCCACTCTTGTCTTCCTGTAATTCTAACAGTGCTTTGGCAGGGAGAGGTCTTAAATAGTGGCAGGAGGTAATGAAAACATGCACTGTGAAAGTAACATTTCTAGAGCTGTTTCACAAGCTCTCCACAAGCTTGTATATCTCCAGCAATACTTCTCTGTTTCATCTTACTCTCATGAATGTTGTCTTATCACTGACAACATACAGATGTCTGCCATTTGACTTGCAGAAAAAACAGGCTTTGCCCACTCCTTCAGAATATTGTTATATATTACAATAAAGGTTATTCAGCTTGATTTCAGATGATCAGGCAATAGTTCCATTGCCTTATGGTTCCTGTGCTAAATATTACTTCCTCCTTATGGATTTGGGTTGTCTAATTCCAGGTGGTGTCCAAAATAGTACAGACACTTGCTTTTGACACGTCAAACCATCAATAGTTGTTACACCACTTATTCTGTTAAAAGTTCTTTAATAGCAACCCCACTAGTAAATATTAAAGCAGATTTGTTGTCAGAGTCCAGCTATAATATTGCTTTGCTTTGGTTTTTGTTTCTTTTTTTCAGGTGCACAAAGAAGGCAGACTGTGGAACAGCCGATAAGGAGAATCACTGGCTGTGGAGTCCAAGTGGCACATGTGTGACTATCATTAGTGCAGACCCTCTAAATATGAGTCGCAGAGCCCCTGCTAAGGTATAACAGGAAAATGCTTTCCTTACATATTCTTAAACCACATTGATGTGACTACCAGGAAGATGAATATCTGCATTTCTTTATGCACAGTGGAGACCAGGAATAGGATAGTGTTTTCGATATCTCAGTCTCTGGCACTTCTCACAGTGCTCTTTCTTGCCTGCTGTTCTTGCAGGTTGCAGTTTACGTTTTCTTCTAAGAAATTTTTGAATTTGACCTTCTGTAAACCGAAGTGATGCACTAGTGTGGATGATAAAGCACTTACATTTATCTGAATATTATGGAAGTGTTGCACAGTGTTGTATAACCCATAAAAAATAATTGGTAGGGGAGATTTCATGCTGCCCTTTGAGCTTACTTGAGCATGAACTTAAGTAAGCAGTGAAGCCATAAGCTGTTGCTTTAAAATCAGCAGTGGATTTGCCTACACAGTGAAGTCTGACTGGGTACATGGAGAAGGTAAATTCAGCATGCAAAACGACTCATGCAACAAAACTGAGTTTTTGGAGTGTGACCAGGGTGTTAAAACTTGCTCTGATTTCAAATGGAGCATGCCAATGCAGACTGAGGCCTTCCCAGGGATGCTCAGCAAGTAAAATCAGTAAATGGCTTTTAATTCCTCTTAATCAGAAATAAAGAAACTATCTGCCAAGTCACCTTAATTCCATTTCTAAATGATGTAAATAGCATTGTGTTAAGGCCATTTCTATGTTGAATAAAGACATTAGTAGAGTGCAATTGGTTTCAATGAGAAAGGGATGATTGTCATTTCTACTGGCAATAAGAAATGGAAAAAGTTAAACTGTATAATGAACACACCTGAAACATTAAGTCAAGGACAGCATCCAAAATTTCATTTCAGTTGTTTCCTCTTTCCTTGTTAAGTTTTCCTATCTTATTTTGCTTTTAGTTCCTCACATACACTCTCGTGGAGGAGGTTAACATCTCACCATCACTCAGAAATCCTTTCTCATCAGTAGTGATATATCTCAATGGATTTTTTGCAGAGTACATTGAGTGTTGAGGAAGCCATGTTTCTGTTCATCCCTTTCAAACTCCAGCATTTCTGGTCTATCCAGCTTTGTTTCCATTATTCTGTAGTAACACAGAAGGTTAATGTAATTTTAATTAAGTTTGTCAGGATTTAAGAGTTAACCACTCTGTTTAGTGTTGCTAAACTGGATGCTGAGGACAAGAATAAAAGGCTTTAGGTGTGTCTGTACAGACATTTTTGTTCTGATCTAATGCATTGACAGGACAAGAGATTTTTGTATCAGTGTAATTCAGCAGAGACCCAGCCTGGAAAAACTGGTAGAGATACAAGAAGAAAAGATTACCAGATGGGAAGAAATAAAAATTGAAAAGGAGAGCCATCTTCTGTGATGCTAGCTAAAATATCACCACTGACCAAAACAACAAAAAAAAAAACCCCCAAACCAAACCAACAAAAGCAGTTGAAATACTGTGATTATAAATCTTACCAGCTCTTGGCTCATTTCTTCCAAATATTTTACCCTTTTTAAATTGTTTCCAGGTGGAACTGACTGTAAGTCCATTGCCCATTTTGACTGCAAGTGACAATGTTTGCTGTACATTTGGGGGAACAACACGTTCTGCTCAGTTGAAAGAAGGGGTTATTATCTGTGATCCACCTGATATAATTCCTCCAACACCAAAACATCAAGGTAAAGAAATACTGCTACCCTCCATGGATAATAAGAGAAAAGAACATAGACTGCTGTTTCTAATGTGATGCTCTTATATGAGGTGCATACAAGGTGGTGTTTTTTCCTCTCCAGTCCCTTTCCCCAAATAGTCTGTTGCTGAACTGTCCATTTGCTCAAACTTTTTGCATTGATGTATTCACAAGCTATAGCATTCCCAGTGTTTCTGCCAGGAACCTGAAACAGTAGCTTGGTAGACACATAGACATGGAGCCAGAGAGGTGCCATTCTGTGTCCCAAACAAACAAAACCCAGTTACTCTAATCTGAATTGCGACGTCAGAAAAGATGCATATGTGCTTCAACTGTGAAGCTGTTCATGCCTGATGTCTTAGTTTTGCTCTAGTCAACAGTACTTCAGTGGCTTGTTTTCTAGTCACAAGGCTGTCCTTTCTATCATAAAGCCTTCTGCCTCTTCTACTGTGTGTCCTACAACTTATGCAAGAGTAAGCCCAGTTGAAAACTACTTGATCATATAATTAAAGACTGCATCGTTGTTCTGAACCACTGATTACAGGCTTAAGATCTGTTGCCAGCCATAATTTATTTCATGGATAGTGCTTTGTTGGTGCTTTAATTCATGCATCTTGATGTATAAACACATGGACTGAAACTGGTTACACAGCACTGTTTATTATGTATCAAGTTTTAACAACTGAAAAGAAATAACAAACAAAAACAGGTGCTCTTACAGCTTGCAGACATACCCCTGAGGATAAATCTTTTATATCTATCAAAGCAGTCATGAACTATCAGAGCAGTACTTGAAAGCACTTTTTAAGATAAGTTTCAATTCTCTTAAGGCTGAAAGAGATCAAAATCCAGTTGCAGTTGCAGGGAAAATAATTATATTAAAATCTTACTGTTGAGTTTTACACTAGCTGGGGCGTGTCACAGCGCTGTGTTATTTAGAGCCAACTCACATTCTCTAAATATTTTGTAAAATGGGACATAAAGTAATGGGGTTGATAAATATGACATCTCAGAGTTGTCCAGCATAAAATATGAGACTAGAAGCCTGTCAGAGAAGGCATTAGAGTAAGCAAGTCACCTAGAAATAATATGTCCCTCTAAGTTGGTTGCACAGGGATCCATCTGAAAGGATATTCAAAAGTAATATAAGGATGCTCGGAAGCTCAGCAGACACCAGCAGAAGGCAGGTAGCTACAAATTTAGGCAGTGCTCTGCAGAACCACAGAATAGTTAGGACTGGAAGAGACCTATGGAGATCACCTAGTTCATCCCTTCTGATAAAACAAGTTCACCTAGAGCAGGTTACACTGGATCATGTCCAAGCAGGTTTTGAATATTTACAGAGAAGGAGACTTCACAACCTCTCTGGGCAGCCTGTTCCAGTACTCTGTCACCCTCAAAGTAAAGATATTTTTCCTCATATCCAGATGGACTCTCCTGTGTCTCAGTTTTTGGCCATTACTCCTTGTTCTATCTGAACAGAGTCTGCCACCATCCTCTTGATACCATGCCCTATGCATGATATTTGTATATTCCTTGCAGCATGTGACAAAAAGTCCAGAGCCATCCAGTTACTCTTAAGAAACCCTACTGATGTTGGAGAAGTCTGGGCTGCTTTAGTTGTGGTTGGTTCCAAAAGGAATAGGACGTTTCTAGGAAGGATGCTTTTTCACTGCCCTATTGTTAGGAAATCCCCTGGCATTCCTTTGAGTCTGAAATATTCAAGGGGACCCAGTGCAGGCAAAGGTAACTTCCAGCCAAGCAGTTGATGGTCTTCCAAGAACCTGTTCAAGAAAGCAGAGTTTGAAATTGCTCAATAGCTTGTGAAATAGCTTGTCATAAGGGCTTAATGATTTCTGCAAAAAGTATTTCAAACAGTTTCACTGAGGAAAGCACAACACTTAGTTTGGTAATAATCCAGATGAGAAGTACATTTGCGGAGAAATCATGTATGGCAAACAGAAGTTCACAAGTGCCTGTGCTAACTTGGGGTTGCAAGCACTGTTGGACATTAACCACAAAGATCACTTGCTTTAATTCACGTGACAACAGTTTTAATTCAAAAATTAAAGAAGTAATTTTACACACAGACATATTCATATTTAAGAAAATGTTTTATTTGAAATGACTGTTCCTGTGCCAGCTTTCATCTGTGTTCAATTATCTCCTTACTCAATTTTCCATGTTCTTCTAGGCTCTTTAAAATTCTAGCACAATGATAGCACTACTGAGAAACACTTCCATAAAACAAAGCTATTCTTTAATTTTGCTTCTTCCCTTTTTTCTACCTCTGCTTTTCTTCTGAGAACCATATGCTGAAAATTTTGTTAAAGCTTAAAAAGACAAAACAGAGCTTATAGTTGTGAGATCCAGAGTCAACAGTATAGTTATTTACTTATGTCCTGTAAAATGATAAAAGTGTTATCATTGTATCATTCAGCTCAAGAGCTGAAAAATTCAACAACCACTTGGATAATTTTTTTTCTTTTGTGATAGATCATGTTTCAGTTCCACTTCAGTTAACCTTTGAAGAGAACAAGATATTTTTTGCATCACATACTTACCCTTTTTATGACTGTGAAGAAGCAATGAATCTTTTTGAAAATCAGCCGTAAGTATTTCAGCTTCTTAAGTGTTTAGATCCTGTAGCTTTGTGTGTGAGGTAACTGACAGCTGAGTTACTCAGTCATTTCAAAATTAAGCCTTTGGCACTCTCAAAGATTGCCAGTGTCCCAATCCTTTTTCTTACCTTTAAAGGCAGTTGAAAAATGGTTGAATGGCACTAGATGAGCCAGCAACACAAGGTGTGGAATAGAAATATTCATGGCACATATAATTAAAGGCCAGTTCGTTGGATTACCATTTCTGTAGCTGCTGATGTATCTGCAGGTGGATATCTGGATATGTGGATATCTGCTTGCCTACTGGTTCCCTGAAATGATAGATTGGTGCTTTAGGTTGTGGTGCTTTCAAATAGGACAGTCAATGCTGACTCTGTCCCTAGCATCTGCCCTGCTTGAGATGTTACTGCCCCATGGCAGGCACAGCCAGCCCAAACTCTTTGTTCAACTTTATGTATGAAGGTTGATCAAAATAATTTCCAGTCCTCTCAGGCTTGATCTCAACGTCTGTGCAAGATACTGTGGTTTTCTGATCCTTGCTCAAATATTTAATGGCTAAAGTAGCTTTTTAAATTTCTTGAACTGTTCTTATTATAAAGTTTTCAGCTTAACATAGTGAGGATGTTATAACAGACTGATCTACCCTCCATGAATAAATATGGAATTTCATTTACTTTTTCTGTCAGTGGGGGAAAAAGCCTGACAGTTTGTCATGACTACCGTGTTATATTTGTAGATGCTATTCCTGTGCAAGCAATAGATGGAATTGCCAATGGGACTGGAAGAGACATATCTGTGAAGAGTCCTCTTCAATACAGGATGTGATTAAACAAAATATGGTAACGTTTAAAAATAAGGTTATTAGGTTTTTATTAGAACACTTCAGTGTTTTGTTTGCTTTATATCTTATATCAGTTGGTTGAATTAGGGATTTAAAAATGATCCTAAAGTTAACTCCAGAAGTGTAAGGTGGTTTTTTTTTAGTGACAGTGCGGGGGTGGGAATTCGGGGTGTGATTGAGGAGGGGCAGTGAGACTGAATAACTCCTGAAAGGATATTTCTGTTCCTTTTACTATTTTGCTTCAATGGGAGGAACAAGATTTCAAGGCAGGGAAAGATAATCACCCACAGCTTTGACATATGCTGCAGTCATTTTTAGCATGTCTAATTTGAAAGGGTGTAATCAAATCTGTCACTGTATTTTAAGTATGAAGTTCTTCAGAACAAGCATTCTATTGTCCGAAGGCTGTTGGAGCTTATTGTGATAAAATTTTTTGTTTGTAATAATATATAAAATGTTTCTCTCCCCAGGAAGAAGAATGCCCACAGTTTCTAAACCCTGACCCTCCAATAATACCTATGGAGTACCAAACAACTGTGTATTTTGAGGGAAAGCATCTAGATTATTATCAGGTAAGCAGATTAATTCAAAGCTAGCTGTCATTTGAATGCAAGTTAAACTGCATCCACACCCCTAAACTAAAGCATTAGTTTATGTGCCTTGGAGATCCTGCTCGTGCTTGTTTTTAAAGAAAGAAAAGAGCTGCAGATTCAAGTTTGATACAATGTTGGCTACTGTAGTAGAGTCATCACCAAGAAAGAATCATATCTGGAGAAAAACATTTCAACTACTAAAATTGGAGGGGGCACTTTAAGACCTAATGAAACACTGGACAATTTTTTTTCATCTAATGAAATGAGAGGTGATGTAGAAATTGTGAATGTTTCATTTCTTGTTTTCTAATTAAATACTTGCTGGTTTTGTTGTTGTTGTGCTTAATTCAGTTTTCACCTTCCAAACACAAAAATGCACTCAGAAATTAAATTTTTCTTAGCTTGGATAAAATAATCTTTTGCTTTTGTGTGTGTGTGACCATCAAACCAGAAGATCAGGCATTTTTTCAACCATAGCAAAGGCTTCTCTTTCTCTGTACTTGCTTCCAGAAAATAAATTACAAATCTTCTGAGAAGTCAGAGTTTGACCTCAAGCTTTTAATTGTTTTGTAACCTAGACAATGCATAAAATGTTATTGTTAGTTGGACAAAAATGAAGCTTAAAAATCATTTTTAGGTAATAGCTCAAGTATTGCTATTATTTCTATTCTTTGTTTCTGTGCTGTCTTTGTGTAAATTGATGATAGATACACTGGGGAGGAATGCATCGATTTCTTTAGCTAGTGGCCATCTATCAAGGGAAAGAAGGCTCTTTTTTTGAGGTTTTTTTTTCCTTTTTCAAATTGAGGTACTCTATAGCTTATAAATCCTTTCTATCACCTCTGCTATGTCTGCCAAGGGATGGAAAAGGGTCAACAGGTCTGAAGAGCAGCCGTATAAGAAGGGTATTCAGAGAAGGGTAAAAAGAAACCCGTAAGCACTGTAATCGTAGGAAGACCATGCTGAGTGTCACTATGATAGACATATATGAAGACCTCGCTATATAAACATATGTTCAAAGATAAATGTTTTTGTTTGAAGACCTTGAAATATATACAGATGATTAAAAGAAATTGGGTGAATTTGGTCTGTTCTCCGAAGTGCTAGGACTGGTTCCTGCTAGGATGTCTGACTGTGTGCAACACAACACTTCTCTTAGAGGCCACAGCTCTCTTTGCTAAAAATTGAAGACTCTTCCAGAGTTTAAACTCATATTTCTTTTGTTTAACATTATGAAGAGCTGTTTCTCTGCACAAGAAGAAAATCTTTTCCTGCTTCCTGGAAATAAGTGGAAAAGCCACTCTCAAGAACAAATTCAGGGTAGATGCATAATTTAGATGTACTGAATTTGGCTTCTAGTGGACCCTCTTCCTCCAAGGAGGAGAAGCAGCAGCAGGAATCCAAAAAGTCCTTTGTCTAGTTTATCATTCTGTAATTAAGCACTTTAATCTTTCTGAACTCCTAGTAGCAAAAAGCCAATGGAAAAAACCTGTTGAGGTTTTTTTTTTTATTCTGTGAGATATCAATTACACTTAACAAAGGCAGAGACACATCCTATGGATTGAGTGCTTTATCATGGGTAGCAACATTTAACAATTTGCCTACAGAACAGACCTAGTATGTATTTATTTAACTTGGAACTGGGAAGGCTTACAAGGATTTCAAGTCTCTCTAAGTCAAGGTGAATACAGAGGCCCAAAGCTGGAAAGATGTTGGAGAGCAATGAGTGTCAAATGATGTCAGAGTAATTTTTCTTGGGTAAGAGCCATATGGGAATGTCATGTCTGTCATGGGATTAGCTCCATATATCCTGGTACAGATGTGCATTTTTAAGCCAAAACAATATAATGCCTTCAGTACCAGGTCTGGAATAGGCACACACAGTTACTACAGCTATATACACAGACCTCTGTGTGATAGCAGACAAATAAGGCATAAAATAGTTGTAATCATACAGGCACTCATGCCTGTGGGGTCGTGCTATCTGAAGCAGTAACTTTGATGACTGAAAATTCATTTGAGTAAGGGCATAACTTACACTCAGCCTTTGGTAAACATCTCATGGAAATCAGGGTGGCTCAGGAGAAGCCATGGATGGATATTTTGTAGGGGTTGGCCTGCAGCCCAAATGTAAAATAGCATTTGGCTTCTCATGTGGAACAATTTTGCTACAGGATATGCAGGGTATTACAGTGAGTTTAGAGCTAGCAGTCATGCAACTATGAGCACATTTAAGGTCTTTATTGATTAGAACATTGGTATATCCACTTTCCTTTCCTAAATTCTTGCTTAGAAAAAGCAAAAATTAATGTTCCATGGTCACTTTGAACTACTAGTTCTATTATCTCGGTTTAATCTGTGCTTTACTTAAAAGGCACAACCAGCCTTATCATGGGTGACTAAGTGCACTAGCCAACATTGTGTATATAAGCATCTTCATTTCTAGGTGGAGATGAGCAATAAAGGCCTACTTAGTGAGTAGGAGAGGTGAATGACTTAAAAAACTGCTATTGCAGAACTGATGGAGGAAGTATAAGCTTGCACGTTTTGTATGCACCTCCTAACTTGTGAATGCTTAAAGTACAACGAATAAGTCTCCTCATGAGGACTTCCATTGGAGGGAAAGAGATTAAAACAGAAGAGGCTGTTGACTGTTTTTCTGCCACTCCTACCTCTGAAAGAATTTCAGTAGGAAGGAGAGGTAAATTCAGGCTGTTGTCATTCTTTTGGGAATAGCCTCATCCAGGATAGGCAGTTGAGAGGAAAGTTTAGTACTGATCAATCATATTGCATGCAATTTCTGAGAGATGCTCTCCAGCTGAGTCCTTGAAAGATTGGCAAAATAGGAGAGACAGATGTACCAGCATCAAGATAACCTTATTAGCCCACCAAAGATTCCTGTTAAAAGTAATTTCCCATTTGGATTTGTCTTTGTCATGTGTGTCTGATGTGTAACCTGCTTCCTGGTGTTTGCTACATGTATCTTGAACCCAGACTGCCAACTGTGAGCTCTGTGGCCTTCTGCTCAAGAGCCTGGTATAGCAACTCCTGATTTCAATGCACTGCAGGTATCAGCTGTCACACACACAGAAGCTCCCCTCCTGTCCCAGAGCCTGCTGTTAAGCATGTGGGAAAGCCTTACACAGCAACAGCAGAATTTGAAACTTTTGAAAAACAGATGTTATATTAAAATATGTGGAGTAGGGAAAACAAGGCAGCATTCCTTAAAAAAAAAAGGATTTGTAAGGAGGTGCTTTAAAACTTGGAGTATGTAGATGTTTTCTGTAAAGCAAGAATGAGCTGTAAAAGTTTCAGACAAGTCTCAGTCAGTAGCTTATTTTCTATATGCAGCTTCTGAGAAGGAAGAAGTTCCCCTCTAACATAAGAAGTATGTTCCCCTCTACCAAAGTCTTGAGTCAGGCCCTATAACTGGTTAGAACACGTTGTCCTCCTCAGCCCCAAACCTTGGTGGGCTCATATCCACTGCCCAACCTGTCACAGTGAAGGTGCAATAGGAAAGCTCACCACTGCACTGACTAGATAAATCTAGTGACCCATGAGTTACCAGTGATTCCAGCATTGGAGAATTAGCTACAAATAAACATGCTGTGATGCTCATACACAAGGCATGGATGATAGGAGACAGTGTATTTAACCCCTGGAGCAGAAAAGAGGAATTGAGTAATCATTATTTTTTTGCCATGTGCTTCAAGACTCAGACAGCTCTGGTCAAAAACAGGGAGTAGTTCTTTACATCAACAGTGAAGTTCTCATGAAGTCCAGCAAGGCCATTGACAAGGTTCTGCACCTGGGTCAGGGTAATTCCCAATATCAGTACAGACTGGGGGTTAAATGGATTGGGAGTAGCCTTGTGGAGAAGGACATGGGAATGAAACATTAAATATGAGCTGGTGATGTGCACTTGCAGCCCAAAAAAAGCAATGGTATCCTGGGCTGCATCAAAAGAAGTGTGGCCAGCAGGTCGAGGGAGGTATTTATCTTCCTCCTATCCACTCTCCTGAAACTCCAGCTCTGGGGTCCCCAGTACAAGAAAGACATGGACCTGTTACAGCAGGTCCAGAGGAGAGGCATGGAAATGATCAGAGGGCTGGGTGAGAGCTAGAGCACTTATCCTATGAAGAAAAGCTGATAGAGTTGAGGTGGTTCAGTCTGGAGAAAAGAAGGCTCCAGAGAGACGCTTGTGGACTTTCAATATATAAAGGGGGCTTATAAGAAAGATGAAGAGAGACTTTTTACCAGGGCCTATAGGAAAAGGGAAAGGGGCAACATTTTTTAAACTGAAAGAGTGTAGGGTTAGATAGGATATAAGGAAGAAATCTTTTACAAGAAGGGTGATGAGTGACTGGAACAGGTTGTCCAAGAAAGTTGCGGGTAGCCCACCCCTAGAAGTGTTCAAGACCAGGTTGGATGGGGCTTTCAGCAACCTGGTCTAGGGAAAGATGTCCCTGCCTATGTCAGGGGTGTTGGACTAGATGATCTTTAAAGGTCCCAACCCAAATGATTCTATGATTTTGTAAAGGTGAAGGTTATCTTGTCCCCCAGTGGGATCTGATTTCATAAGTCTTTACCAACAATACTATCTGAAAATATCCTTGCTACTCATTTCTTTCTAAGATTCTTCTGGCAAAGCTGTTTGCACAGCTATCCTGTGGGGAGGAAAATGATCCAGCACAGAAACGGTGTTGTGGGGTGATGTGTTTGGTTTTTAACCAGCTCAGTTCCTTGACTGAATCACAGAACAGCCAAGCTGAGAGTTTTGCTGGTGCAGTGAAGGTCGGTATGTGCTTCAGCCTTAAGACAGTAATTAATGGATTTAGGATCTAAGGACAAGAGAGGGAAAGATAGTGCCTAGGAGTCAGGAATACCCTTAAACTGGTGCTGCCATCGAAGACTTTCCTGTGAAAATACATCTGGAGCCAAAGTAAAGCCAGAAAGAGCTGAGAGATGTTCATTCCTGTTTCCCATGCAGTTCTTGCATTGCTGCTTTGCCCAGAATCCCTACAGAGCAGAACTCACACAGCTCTGTTAATAACACATCTGATGTGTGAAGCCATCCAGTGTTTACATATCCTAGCTTTTTCTTATTGCTCCCTAAAATGGAGTGCTACATATGATCTTACTTTTCTTGAACTGCTTGTTGTGTCCACCCTGAATGAATGTTGGTGGAGTGCATCAAAGTACCAGATTGCTCTGACTCAGTATTTCACTAGCACTGCTTTAGATGACTGTAACTGGTCAGCCTACTGCATTTGGTCTTAATTACTTCCATAGCTGAACAGGATATTGCCTGGTGATGTTTACTATGCTTGGTGATGCTATACAAATTCTAAACTGAACTTTTCTCTTCCATAGGGTAAAAAATTTGTAGTTGGAAACAGCCAATTTGAATTCGAAGCTCCTGTTGATGAATCAGATAATGGAAATTTTTCATTCATGACTAAAGAGGTAAATGCAAAAATATGATTCACCTACCAAATATACTCAGTTCTTCTTCTAAACTGTTCCAGTAGCCACATGTGTCCAAAATTATACAGGTAATATGGGTTTCCCTCAGAAAAGAAAGTCACCTCTGATAGAGATTCTCTTTTGGCAGTAGTAGTCAAAGGCAACAGTTTTAGCTCAGAACTCCTGGGGTCTCCCATCAAAACCCTCAATCTTTCTTCTTCATTTCTCTACACATGCAATCCATGGATTTATGGAACTGTCCCTGGAGGAATTTGAGACCATTACTGTTTTATTCTTCACATTTTATGCAATCTGGTAAAATCATTGAGGCCTCACCTTGAATATTGTGTTCAGTTTTGGTCACTGCAATATAAGAAAGATATTAAGCTATTAGAGAGTGTCCAAAGGAGGGCAATGAAGATGGTGAAGGGCCTTGAGGGGAAACCGTATGAGGAGCAGCTGAGGTCACTTGGTCTGTTCAGTCTGGAGGAGACTGAGGGGAGACCTCATTGCAGTCTACAACTTCCTCATGAGGGGAAGAGGAGGGACAGGCACTGATCTCTTCTCTGTGGTGACCAGTGACAGGACCCAAGGGAATGGCCTGAAGTTGTGTTAGGGGAGGTTTAGGTTGGATATTAGAAAAAGGTTCTTCACCCAGAGGGCAGTTGGCTACTGGAACAGGCTCCCCAGGGAAGTGGTCACAGCACCAAGCCTGGCAGAGTTCAAGAAGCATTTGGATGATACTCTCAGGCACACATTGTGACTCTTGGGGATGGTCCTGTGCAGGGATAGGAGTTGGACTTGATGATCCTTGTGGGTCCCTTCCAACTTGGCATATTCTGTAATTCTGTGAAAATACAAGAATGATTTCAGTGCTCTCCCTCTCCTCATCCCAATTAATTATCTTTCCCATTTTGCATCTGTAAAAATGGGAGTGGTAAGAATGGTAACAGCGTGCTGTTGTTTGGCTACTTAGTAGTGTTATGATTTGGTTATTAAAATTATTAGAGAGATGCCTCTGCCTGAATTAAGGTGCAAAGGAGACCATGTCCCAAAATCAATAGTATGGATTTTTATTTAATAGTAAATGTTAGGCAGAGAGAGATACAAAGAAATAGGGAAAAGAGAGAGTTCAGCAGGAGAGAGAGTGACAGAGAGACAGATTAAGTAGAAAAAATATCACCACTCTGTGGACTCCAACGGCATCCCGTTCTTCTTCTTCTTGTGGTCTTTTCGGTGGTGAGAGTCCCAGTCTTGTCAAAGTGATGTTTGCAGTCTGGATCTGTCACAGGAAGCCCAGGGCAGTGAGGGATCCTGGGGGGGAGGGTTTCTTATGCTTAGGCTAGGTAGAAATGCCCCCAGTATCTCCCCTGGCATGAGGAATTTTTTTAGAGGATGATATAATACTGGATCACATGACATTACATGAGTCTTTTACACCTTGTAAGATGTTACAGCTGCCTGTTACATCAGTGCAGTTGAGTCAATTATGGCCCATCAGCAGAGATGAATACCTTGAGGCTTATCGTGAATGTTTGGTACTTCCCGGAGAGGAGTTACCACAGCTGAGTCATTTGTGTAAGGACAAAGAAACACTACCCCACCTCAGAGGATTTACCTCTTTCCTTATCTTGTTCAACACCCAGCTTGTAGCCTGAGGTGGTGGGTGTGCACACCCTCAGCGCCTGGGCTTTGGCTTGCACTTTGATTGCTTGAACCATTAGCATTTCAGTCTCTCACACTTGTTCTTTTCCTGGGATAATTGGACAATAGTATTACCTTTATCTTATTTCAACTTTCAGTCACAGTCCAAATTAATAGGCATATTTGGGTAGGCGGGGGCTTTGGTGAGCAGTTGCTTCTTTGCACAGTTTGCGGACAGTGGACAAAAGTCTTTCGGTGATTTTAACAATGTTTAAGCCACTAATGATTTCAGTCTCTCACAAGTAGTTATGCTTCTTTCACTCTGATTTATTTTACTGAGAAAGGATATAATATTTTAAAAATAGTCTATTTTCTCAGCTCAAAGTTTGACTCACAAATATAATGCTGACTTTGTCTTATGAGCTCACTAACAGTAGTTTTGAGAACTGATGAACATTCGTGCATCATTTGTGCCTAGCACAAAGCATTTGCTTTATAAAGCCTCTGAATTTTTCTTTGCTCTTTTTCCTTCCTAGTAATTGTTACTGCTGCTGTCTTTCAACATGAGCAGAAGCTCATGTCTTGGAGCACGTGAACCTTGTGATTTGGCTGTAAAATGAGGAGGTTGCACTGCAAAAGATGTGAGAGATTTCCTCTCCATGTGGTGCGAGTCTGCTGTGCCCACAAAAGTAATGGGGCCAGATGGTGTGGGAAGGGAGAACTCAGCAGGGTCAGCAGCTATACTTACTGCATCTGAACAGTACTTTTGCTGCTTTGATACTTATAACCAAATGTAAATTAAATTAATGATAAGCGAGTATTCAGATATTGCTGTCCCTTGGTACTTGAAAATTCTGATTGTGAAGGATTAGGTTCATTAAAACATTTTTCTATAAATGTATTTGGCCAAGATGAAGAAAAGACCATAAGGCTTGAGAGAGTTTCTAAAACTTTCACAGCTCTGATTATTGAGAATCATAGAAAATACATGAAATCAACCTTGCCAAATGAAGGCATAAATATCTCTATTTTGTCGTCTTTTCCAGTTCTCCTATAGTGCAAATGAAACTCTACAACTTAACTTATCCATAAGAACAGATAAGGTCAAGATTGACAGCAAACTGATGGGTAAGTATGAAATATGGGATTAAAGGGAGGTTAATTACAGTAAACAGAAATCTATTCCTTCATAATTTGGAGTCATGAATAAGAATGTTTGTAGGTTTTACTTGTGTGGTTGAAACAAATCTGACAGATCAAAAGTGATTAATACTAAAGTAATGCATCAAACATCAGTGTTGTCAGCAAGTTGGCTGATAACACCAAGCTGTGTGGTGTAGTTGACACACTATAGGGAGGGGATGCCATCCAGAGGGACCTTGACAGGCTGAAGAGGTAGGCCCATGTGAACCTCACGAAGTTCAACAAGGCCAAGTGTAAGGTCCTGCACATGGGTTTGGAGAATCCCAGCCACAAATACAGCTGGGATATGAAGGGATTGAGAGCAGTTCTGCAGAGAAGGACTTGGGTGTGAAAAGCTGGACATGACCCAGCAATGTGCATTTGCAGCCCAGAAAGCCAATCGTATCCTGGGCTGGATCAAAAGAAATGTGACCAGCAGGTCGAGGGAAATTATTCTCTCCTCTACTCCACTCTCATGAGATCCCACCTGGAATAGGGCATCCAGCTCTTGGCCCACAACATAAGGACGTGGACATGTTGGAATGAATATAGAGGAGGGAAGGCCACAGAGATGATCAGAGGGCTGGAGCACCTTTCCCATGAAAAAAGGCTGAAAGAGTTGGGGTTGTTCAGCCTGGAAAAGAGAAGGCCCTGGGGAGACCTTATTGCAACCTTTCAGTACTTAAAAGGGGTTTATAAAAAGGATGGGGACAAACTCTTTGCAGGGAGTGTTGCGATAGGACAAAGGGTAATGGTTTTACACTGAAAGAAGGTAGATTTAAATTAGATGTAAGGAAGAAGGTTTTTACAGTGAGAGTGGTGAAACACTGGCACAAGTTGCTGTGCTGGTTTCAGCTGAGAAGTTTTCTTCACAGTGGCTAGTATGGGGCTATGTTTTGGATACCGGAGAAGTGGTAGATGCCTCATACCTGGAAACACTGAAAGTTAGGCTGAACTGGGCTCTGAGTAGAATCATAGAATCAGAGCATATCTTGAGTTGGAAGGGACCCACAAAGATCATCGAGTCTGGCTCCTTGCTCTACACAGAACAATCTCAAAAAAGCATTTGGTCTAGTTGAAGATGTCCCTGCTCATTGCAGGGATTAAATAGATGACCTTTAAAGGTCTCTTCCAACCCAAATTCTTCTATGATTCTACAATTCTATGATTCTATGATTTTTGAGATTGCTTTTGCTCTGAAGGGCAGTGCTAATAACAAAGCTTCATAGTTCAAATTACTTAAGTAGTTTGATTACTGTTTTTTTCAATTACCATTTCCCTTCCTCAAGGCACTTTCCTCATAAAATAGCAGAAAGGGGATCATTCTCACTGTTGCTTATACAGACTTCACCTGAAATCTCAACTTTTAGCTGTATCTCAGCTTAGACAGGTTCTGCAGTCCCTATGTCTGCTGGCAATACACAGAAACATTGTGTGCTTTCAGCTCATTATTTTATTCATTTATTTATATGACAAAAAAAATTATAGCTTCATGACTGGATATCTGATAAAAATTTCTTTATGAATATAAATTTCTTTATTTCTTTCAACATACAACAATGAAGCAATTATGTCTATGAGTCTAGTCCTGAGCAGAAGTAAGGAAGCTCCTTCAAAATCAGTGGAAGAAATCTAGGAGCTGAGACCTACCTTACTGTCCTTTGGACTGAAGTTTAAGGCAGAATACTGCAAAAACTATAAGGCAACACACTTGTTACTTGTGTGATCGGTCAACATTAGGAAAACTAATACTAATACCCCAAGTAATTTCCTCTGCAGATTGAATCTTCAGACCCTATTTCTCCAGCTGTACAATATTTAAATTTATTCCCTTTCTTTTTGGCAGCATAGAACTATGTTGTTAGAAGATATTCCTTATGTCTCTGTGTGCAATGTTAAAAGTACTTAAAAGAGGATCTGGCATGAATGTTACAGGGAGGTCATATTACAAACTCCCACTGTCTTAATTTCCATTCCAGAGGCTGTCATTTTTAAAGCTGCAAAATTTTGACCAGATATTCCAAACATCTTTTTTTAAGTCTGGGAAAAACATAAAATCCCCCAAAAAGTAGTTAAATTATTAAGGAAATATTATCATTCAGATTGAAATATAGAACCCTTGCAAGAGGGGAATTGAAAAATTATCAGAAAATGTCTCCTCTTATTATAAAAGAGATTTTTTTAAATCCAAATTCTCTCTGTCTTTTAGACTTTCTTGCAATATGAAATCCACACTGTAATGTGTTTTTATGCATCTTGAAAAGAATTGGCTTTGGGTATATGGTTGCTTCTGAGAAGCACCTTTGAACCTGCCAGTGAAAGAACCCTTTCTTTGTACAACACTTAGTGAATACTAAGTTGTGATAGTGTTTTTACATCTCAAGCCATCAGGGGTTCTGAACAGTATGAAATCCAATATATCCCTTTTATCCTTTGTCCTTTTTATCAGTGATATCACAGCTGGTATCTCAAGGTGATGGATAAGAGTCTGAACCTAATGAGTGGCCTGCTGCTGGTACATTTAATGAGCTGTTCAGTGAACAGGGGGAGTGGTTAATACTTTAAGGCCATGGCTTTCTCCATTGCATTTATGCAACTGGATGTGAGGGATGTCATGACATTGCAGTGCTGACATTGTTTACTGAGGGATGCGATGAGAATCCCTGTCCAGCCAACGAAGGATAACAAAGTAAACATATTCCCATGCTGTACCTGGTGGCCATGTAGCAGTGTGGGTGAGAAGTGCTGGGTTTAGGAAGTCAAGGAGAAGATTTGTTTGACAATATTACCTTTTCAAGTGTCTGTGCAGTAGCAACCTTTCAGAGAGCTAGAATAATAAAGGAATCTGGTTCCCACAAAAGCAATTCACAGCATAGATGTGAAGAAACTTTTCCTTGCCACTGTCCACATTGTCTCTTCTGCTTATAAAAGCAAACAGCAACATACCAGGGCTGTCATACTGGTGCTTTTCCACAGCACTACATTTACATCCAACATACAGAGCGGATAGCCGACAAACAAACTGTTGGAAATATTGCTTGGATTATGTTTGTTGTTCAGTGACGTATCAATGTGCTCAGTCTATGAAGCAAATTATGCTAATCCTGCTTTGTGCAATTCCTTGGAAATTCAAGATAGAGATTGAATCAAATGTATGCTCTTTCATTTTTCATTGTTAGAAATACCAAAGTCCTTTAGTTTTGCATACACCTCCAATTACCCTCAACTGTATTTTGCTGGTAAAGTTACTTGAAATCAAGTGGATATGCTGATTAGAGGTAGGAAGGGTTAAAACCAGGCTTTATCATTGCATCAACTCTTCAGTGTAAGGGAAAGAATAAAAACCTGTTATTATATTAAAGACTAGTTGTGAAACAGAATACTGAGGGTTTAAAATATATAGCGTTTAGAGAAAAACTGCCTGTATGAGATTACATGCTCTCCTGCAAGTGGCAGAGAGACAGTAGCCAAGATTTGGGCATCTGCAATATTGTTCATGCCTCGCAGGAAAATGAGGCCACTGCTGAAAAAATAGCATTGTCGTTTTACTTTTTCATTTCAGTAGAAATCTGACATGGTTGTCTCCTGGAATTAGGTTTTAAAAGCTACTGCTGTTGTTGTTATCTAGGAAAGTATCAAGTGCATTGAAAATGTTAGTGACTGGAAGGTGGTTTTGCCAGTCTCCTTTCTAGTGTCCTGCTCCTCTGAGAACAAAAGCTTTCTTTAAATAGACATTTTTAATGGCCTTTACCATATGGAATCTCAAAGGGAATTACCCTTGTCCACATCTGTTTACTTTCCTTTATTTTCTGCATCTTCAAGGATGAACCTTCTTTGAAAAACAACGAGTGTCACTAAGGTTACTGTTTCGTCAGACATAATGAGCACATAAACCACATCACTACTGGAAAGGGGAGATGTTGAGTTTCTGTCTTGTACACCCCTGTGCTGTTTTCAGCTGACGTAGTTAGTGTTCTTCACAGTGGCTAGTATGGGGGTGTTTTGGATTTGTACTGAACACAGTACATGATATGTACACATCTATGATAACACAGAGATGTTTTTGTTGTTGCTGAGCAGTGCTTACACAAATCCAAGGCCTTTTTTGCTTTTCATGCTGCCACACTGGCACAGAAGTTGGGGGTGTGTGGGAGGTTGAGAGGACACGCAAGTGGAACAGGTGACCCAAACTGACCAAAGGGATATTCCAAACTGTATGGCATCAGGCTTAATATATAAAGCTGGGGGGAAGGAGGAAGGGTGAGACATTTGGAGTGATGGTATTCATCTTTCTCTTCCTAAGTGACTGTTACATGAGGTGGGGCCCTGCTCTCTTGGGGATGGCTGAACACCTGCCTGTCCATGAGAAGCAGTGAATTAATTCTTTGTTTTTCTTTGCTTGTGCGTGTGGCTTTTTCTTTTCCTATTGAACTGTCTTTATCTCAACCCACAAATTTTCTACCTTTTACCCTTCCAATTCTCTCCCCAGTCCTGTTGTTGGGGGAGTGAGCAAGTGGCTGCATGGTACTTGTTTGCCAGCTACAGTTAAACCACAACAGCCCCATTCCCATCTGTAAGCACATTTAACTCTTGAAAGAGCACAGGAGGAAACCTAGATATATTCTGCCGTTCTGGTAAGTTAAGTTGATTTACAAGACTCAACAAGTGCCAGAGCCTCAGTAGCAGAGGGTGAGAAGCTGTGTGGCCAGAAAAGCAGAGCAGCAAAGAGTAGAGAGAAGCAGGGAAAAAAGGGAGCAGAAAAAGCAGAAAAGAAGTTTTCCTCTTCACAATATTCATCTCGCCTTTCCAGGAAAGCACAGCACTCACACACTGGGTAGTCTGTGCAACTTGCACACTTCCCCTAGAGAAATGTGTGGCATCTTTTCAGTCTATTTTCTTCTGGGCTAGTTCTAAAGTGCATTTCCATATGTTTTTTTGCAAGCCCAGGCTCTCCGTATGGTGCTGAACCACCCAACTATGTCTCAAGGCTTTGCATCTATTTGGGGAAATTAGTTTTATTGAATGACTGCTTCATGCTAGAGATTGATGGGGGCCAAAATAAGCTTAGTGTCTGGGAGAGTTGGTGAGTTGTTCATCAGTAAGAGAGGCATGACTTAGACATGATTTCTTGGCTCAGAAAAGCTAAAACTAAACCCCACTTCAGAAGGAATAAGGCATACATCAGGATGACATTTCAAGACAAAAGGGAAAACAAAAGCAAGAAAATAGAGAAGAATGGAGAAATGAAGAGGTATTAACTTGAACAAGGGATAACACTTCATTTAGTGTTAACATTCTACTTAGTTCAGGCCTTAGTGATGCTTATGGAAAGTCCTAAATGTCCTTGAAACAGCCTACAAAGGCAGGTCTCTTCCTTTAAATCTGCAACTGGCAGAGGTCCCATGCCACCTGTCTGTCCCTACTGACACCCATGCAAAGTCTAGACCCTTCCACATCTGACTAGTGGTGCTCCAGGAGGACCTGATTTTTGAACTAATCTTTGAACAGTTGTGTGAGTTATTGACACTAGTCAAAGTAAGGACTTTGTACTTGAATGTTTTGACAGTGCCTGAGTGACAAAAATATATTGGGATAGTTTATTCATAATCTGCACATGGATAGATTTCGGGTTTTTCCATAGATGGAAAAATTATGTTCTCTCAACATGATTCAGGGTTAAGGACAGAATATGCATATCACTCACATATCTCCCCTGATCTTTGTACACAAGGTTAGTTTTCCTTCTTAAAGCACACTGAGTATCCTTAAAACAGTGGGAAATGTCTAAGTGCATTTATCGTTCATCTTTCAGTGACTCTGTACAACTGCTCTTATGGACGAAGCGACTGCAGCTTGTGCCTTGCTGCCCATCACGACTATAAGTGTGTCTGGTGTGAAGAAGAGGGCAAGCCCAGCAAGTGCGTTTATGAAAAACTCTGTCATGCTCCTCCCACCAACACATGTCCTCCTCCAGAAATCACTCGCGTAAGATTGCTTTTTTCTCTCCCTAACAGGAATATTTTTCAGCAGAAAGCATCCAAGCAAACTCATACTGAAAGGCAGTTTTTTTTCTAGCCTCTGAAATAGCTGAAAGGAAATAATGTCAATAGTGATGTGTGCAAGAGATTTGTAAAGACTCAAAATAAGAAACTGAATGGAGTCTTTGAGACTCCTTGTTTTTCAAGCCTTGTCCTCACTGTGCCAGAAGCCAGGCTAGCAGTGTACACTTAAAATGTGGCACTTGATTCTCAGGAGTTAGCATAGGTTTTTTCTCCCCCAAAGTCCTTTATACCTGCAATAAGTCTGTAAGAGAGGTTTACTGCTCCTGCAACTACAAGCACTTAACAGGCTCATTTACAGGCTTCAAGCTAGACTTTAAAATAGTATTTAATAAGGGAGCAGGTTGTTTCTGCATCACAATGTTTTCCAGGTGTCAGTGATATTTTCCAATCCACGTCAGAATCAAACCCAAGACTGTAGGATTTGAGAAGTCAGACAGGCCAAATGTGCACCCTGACTTAATCTGCAGTTGGAGCATTCACCCAGGGTGAGGGAAGAGTGTTGTCCACCTTGGTGGACCAGCAGCCAGAGGCAGCCATGTCTCTGTGCTCAGACTTGCTTAGACCTAAGAAACTGATTTTGATGGACCAGACATTAAAGTGCAACCTCTCTCTTCTTGATGGTATACTGGCAGCCCTCCAAAGGTGAAGACCTGAAAAGGTCCTGCTGGAGGTGCTCCAAGTATTACATATGAAAGCAGATTAGTCTGCCAACAAACATTCTGATTTCAAGTGCCTGTTTGGGCCATATTTCAGTCTGAGGAGTCCACTGCAACTGCAGGATCTTCTCTGTCCTCATTTTATTTGCAAATTACTCAATTAGCATCAGCCCATGTACTGCAGCACTCTACCATGAGATGCAGTAAGGAAGATCAGGGGACTAGAGGAACTTTTGAAGACACTACTTGGGGCAGCACTGTGTGTTAGGAAGTGAACCTAAAGGGAGAAAATCATGGCAAAAAGAATGCTGGAAAATCTCCATGGAAGGATTGTGAAAGGAACCCAGTCCATTTGCTTTTCAAAATCATGATGCTTTAGTGGAGGAAGCAAATTTAGAATAAACCCGAGGCAAGAGTTTTGTACAAAGCAGTCTGCCACAGGAGATGTGAAATCTGCAGCTGATGAAATGGGTTCTGAGCTAACCAGATGATTAATTAACATAAAAAAGTTACATAGCGTGTTTTTGTGTGGGTCCTACAAGAAACATCTACATTTCAAGTGTGGGTAAGTTAAAGTAGCTTTAAATAATATGGAAGAGCAACGTGGTCACTGCAGTATTTAATTTTGCTTTTTTTTTTAACTCTCCTTCATGCAAACACAGATTGAGCCAAAAACTGGACCACTAAGTGGTGGAATTCTTTTGACCATAATGGGATCTAATTTGGGAATAAAAGCAGAAGATGTAAAAAGTATAACGGTGGCAAACAAGGAATGTCTTTTCAAAGAGGAGTTCTACTCTGTTTCCACAAGGTAATTGATGGAAACTTTTCACAAGATTTTAGAAGAAAAAAGGAAGTTCTGGATGATCTTCTTGTGGTTTCAAAAGGTTACCAGTAGAAGAAAGAACTAGTGTGATATACCTACAATATTTCATAGAAATGTATGAGTCTTTGTCTAAAATTGTTATAGATTGTAATACAGCAACAAATTTACAATGGTGTACTACCATCCTGCTTCTGATTGAATTTTTTTCCTTACTTGATTGAAAAGCTTTCATAAAGTATTACTGCACATATATCAAGACTATTTATTTATTTTTAAATTAAAGGCATTCTACATGTACATCTATTCATTAAAGACTTTGCTAAAGCTGAACCACAGCAAAGCCAAGCATACAAGATTTATGGCAGAGTAGGCAAAACAAGAGAAAACTTAAATCTTTCTGGTTTAGTCCAGCCACAAAGTTTCTTTCATAGGGACAAGGAGGGAACACAGAGCTTAGGTTTAGCTGTAGATGACTAATTTTCGTCTCAGTGCCAACAAATCCATGGATGTTGAATTGCCCAAGCAGGTTGGTAGATGTTTTGCAGATTGCTTGTCACACTCTTGAGCCATGCCAAAAATTAAAACAGAGTGCCTAAATTCTTCTAGGTGGGTGTCTAGGTGTTTGCTACAGATTAGATCAAGCACCTAATTTCAAGAAGGAAGTACCCTTTTGATATTAGCTGATGAAAAGCATAGCATGAAGGTTCAGTAGTAATATTAGGAGTAATGACACACTTTAGGCAGTGGGATTTTTCTTTCATTCACTTTTGATATTTAAAGCTTCAATTGAAACATTGGCTTTCTTTCCCTTCAATTAATTTAAAGTGTAACACAGTAACATTTTGCTATTCTTGTGGCGTGTTTTGAAAGGGATTTCGAAGATACCTAGCTGATTTTTTTTTTTAGCTTTTGAAAAATGATTAACTTTAGTCAATTTGTGTATCGGTTATTTAGAAGCTTCTCAGGCCCCTAGGATTGAAGAATGTAAAGAATAGCTATTTATTTCTTACTACTTTCCATTTTATTGCCATCAATCCCACATTTACATGTATTTCACTATCCACAGAATTACAATTTTCTTACAGTCATCTTTTCCCTTTCCCTATTTTCAGTGTTTGCAAAAGCTGAACTGAATTGCAGCATAGACTTACAAGAATTTCCTCAGCCTCTTGGCTTTTTCTAAAGCTTTTTGATATTTTTAAATACATGGAAAGGAGCCAGAACTGAGATGACTGGTTCCTTGTATCATAGCAACATTACTGGTTTCCTAAGTTCTGGCAGTGTAGTAATGGGTGAGAACAAATGCAACTTGCATCATGTCATTTATCAACAAATTAGTGGGTTTTGAAGGATGTTCTCCATTAGGGAAGCCTTAAAAAAGAAGTTATTAAAAATCTTCAAGAACATATCTATAATTTGCTGTCTTTATCTTCCTTCATTCTTGTGTTTTATTATTACCTTCTTTGATATAGTTAAATTAAAAAAAATTATAAGTGCCTTGTCTTGCTCCCCTATCCTTCTGCAGTAAAAAGCTAGTCTTTTTAGGAGACAGTTGCTCCCATGTGCAGCAAGATTCAAGGCACTTAAGGCTGCTTTCTGGCTCTGCGGTGACTTAATTGTTGGCCTTCGAGAAGTCTGTTCTCATTCTTTGTAGTTTTCCATTAGTAACGTGGGGGAAGGGAGGCAATGCTAGCGCTGGTGAGAGGAAGGAGCTTTTCTCAATTAAAATCCCTACTACAGTGTTTCCCCCACACATCCCCGGCCCCGGCCCCTGACTGCTTTCCCTAGCTTGACATATGGTAAAAATTCCTCCAAAGGAACCGTTTCCTGTTTCTGCCTGACAAGAAGATAAAACTTCCAAGAATACAGTAGAGAGATGATGAGGAACAGGCTCAGGCAGCCATACACATGCCAGGACATGCAAGAATTTGGAGAATTTTGTCCATTTGCCAGTACCCATGAAAAAAAGTCTGGAGTGATCTGCAAAGGGACTTGAAAATCCTTTTATTATAAGTCCCAATTTAAATACATTATGCCCAGTGATGTGGAGTTGTTGAGAGTTTTTTTCTGCTTTGAGATTTTTTTAAAACACTGCTTAGGGAAGATTAGGGAGTGACAGAAATGAGCAGTGATCCTCAGGGTGTGTCCCATATGAAACTGTCTGACTGCACAGGCTCCGAGCATTATGTGCTTCTTTATCTAATTATTTTATCAGCTCTGCATTAAGCATTTGTCCCAGTTTTCAAGTGCATCAAATCCTAATTGCCTTTTTATGTTTTCATTCTGTGGGTCACCTGTTTGAAATAAAAATTAAAACATCGTAGCTATCACTCACCAGCAGTGTTAGTTAAGGCAGTGTTTTCTTGGCCAGTGTTCCTTGACCTCTGATTTTGTGTGTGTTATCTGAAAATTTATTTTCAGAGAACAGTAATTCTGAATGGATTTTGATCATAGGTGTGAAAAGGCAGTATTTTGAAGCTGAAAGATAGCAGGACACACAACAAAATTATCAGCAGCTAAAACACACAAAATTTTAACATCACTGATGATCTGATGCTTGCATCAAGCAGGTGGGGGCCCCTTGGGTTTTTTAAACATCACAAAGTTCACTGTAAATCTTGTGTTGGGTTGGAGAGTTTCAACTTTGACTTACGGGCTGAATTTGAGCCTTCTATAGAAGGCACCTCTACTAACAGCCTGCCAAACTAGCTGCTGTGTACAGTTCTCAGGTTTCAGTTTTCTGAACCTTTAGATAGATGAGCAAACTATTCTTGGATGGTTTTGCTGGGAATCTGAGGCAGTGTTAAAGAACATTGTATAGTGTAAAGCGAAGTGAGTGCTTTTGCTGGCAGTGTGTGTGGTAGCTCACATACATTGCATTGGTATTGCAGCTGTATTTCTAGCAGATAAACTTACATTCTTTCTCGATAGGATTGTGTGTCAAGTTGGACCAATGAATGAACCACAACAAGGTCAAATTGAAGTTAACATCAGTGGAAAATTAGGTAAATCACCAAGTGAAGTTCTGTTTACATACCAGGTAAGTGCATTTTTTTACAGAGACCTATTTTATACTTTTTGTATGACTTAAGTTAGAAGTTTACCTATTAAGCACAGAATCGCTTGTGTTTGTCTTACAAACTGTTTAATCAATAGCACTGTCATTCAAGAATGTTAGAAAACACTTAATTTCAGCATTTCTGTATACAAAAGGTGTACCAAAAATCTATGCTGATCAATAGGTCCAGAATCTCAAAACAGGATGATATCTGCCATTCAAGTTAAAAAGATGTGGTAGAAAAGCAACTGTAAGAAACTTATGGAATAGTGACATAATATCTCCTAAGTGTCACTATTGAATTGGAAAAAAAGCACTGCAAAAAATTAGGTATTCTCTAGACACACGGTGCAGTATTTTAATCATGATATTTAGTCTAGCCAACGTTCTTAATGAGAAGAATAGATGCAGGGCAACTGAAGAATAAGTAATGAAGGTACATTAATTTCTTTAATAATTTATTTGATTAAAAAATATGGCATGCAGAGCCACAGGCAGCATGATGTGTGTTCATATAACATATGTGCTTTGTTTTCAGTGTGGCTATGAACAAGAATTTCATTTCTGTCTTAATTGCTTTGCTCTAAGTTTGGCCCTAGCTGATCTAACCTGTGATTTTAGCAGCAGTTATCTTTGTATCTATGAGGTCTTTAAACTTTACAAGAACCTATGATAGTTGAGAGGTTTAAATAATCTCAGTCCTCATATTGATACTTAAAGTTACACCCATAAACTGTAAAACTATAAAACATAAATGGTAGGTTAGGCTTTTATCTTCTCCCTTATTTAAACTTCTGTCTCATTAATTCTTGATATCTTGTGAGAAGATAAGGAAAAGAGTTGGCAATATGCAGTGGGAATAAGTCAAGAATGACATTTAACTGAGAAGAGGATATTCTTTTTTCATAAAACAGGCTAGAAGAGGGTTTCCTGTAATTTCCAAGCAAATACCTCTTCTCTCTGGTAATACATCTGCAAAAAACCTCCCACCCTTTTTGCTTGAATATGTCATCTGTTCCTTTGTGGAAATGTAGGTTATGATTAAGTCTTGTTTTGTCCATCTCATTCATCTTAACTGGAGAACAATGAAATAATCTTCTGTGTGTATGTTTGTGGCCTCTAGGACAGATGCTATGACAGTAAGCCCTACTTGAGATGAGATTTTGATATGAATCTGTTGTGTTGGGTATGGTTTGCACCAGTTCTCCTATGCATCTGTGTGTAAAGATTCTCCCACGGTTTACATGGGAAGCACATGAAGTTCTTCTGGAGTGTGTTGAAATGTAATCTGAAGCCCATATGTAGGCTTCAAAACCTATCTGTGGACTTGTTCTGGTGTGATTCCCTGTTCAGCCCATCTGAGAAGCCAGATAAGCAGCCACAGGGAAAGATTCTTAATTGCCCATCAGTGAGCCACTAGGAAAACCTGCTATGCACAGGCATCATCCAGGTGGATGTTTTCCTGCAAGCCCAAGACTCCCTGTATGCTAATCTCTGCCTACATTGAGGTTACTGAAAAATCAGATGCCTAAGCTCACTGCTGATAAAGATAATTTTTATTTTCTGCAAAAATCTTTCCTTGGGGACCCTATTTACAATATACAAAACAATGACAAGTAATATAATTCACACATTAAAACTGATGGTGTTGGTTTCTAGTTTCATTTATCTTTATCCCACAAAAAAGTGAAGCCAACTGTGGACTGCAGTAGGATTGAAGTCGGTGCAGGAGCACTACATTGACATGTACTTCTACAAGTGTGACACGAATGCTTCTGGTGTGAGAACAGACGGTTAGAGCAGACAGTTGCATCAGTTAATGTTGTCTTTAAAGCTGCAGTCTTGTTTCAGTGCTGTTTTCAGGCAGTTCTTTGGTAATTTCTTTCAGTAGACATGCAAAATCTGTGCTTTGTTTAAAATCTCTTCTATTCAGTATATACAAAGGAAAGAAAATACTCTTCTCTCCAAGAGCCTTCCTAAAATAAAATTTCTCTTATGAATTTCCTCCTTTCTTTGACACATTGGCTGACTACCCTTTTGTTGGTAACTATCACTGTTTCTACTGTGTTCTCTGATCTGCTGAAGCAGTATAGCTTCAGCTTTAATAGTGATCGTTCTAAACGCATTGTGTGGCATCACAGAGCAAAAGTGCACAAGCAGTTGCACGAGGAAACACTGCAGATGTTCAGCCTGGTGTGTCTGTATACACGAGAGGTATCATCATGCTCCCCACAATCTAAGCCTTGTACTTGTGACTAGTATCTGCCACCAAAAGCCCAAAGTCACTTATCAAGTATATCAGATATAAGGAAGAATTTTTTTTTTATCATGAGAGTGGTGAGTCACAAAAACAAATTGTCCAGAAAAGCTGTATCTGCCCCGTTATTGTAAGTGTTCAAGGCCAGATTGGGTGGGCTTTGAACAAGCTGATCTAGGGAAAGATGTCCCTGCCCGTGGCAGGGGGGTTGGACTAGATGAACTTTAAAGGTCCCTTCCAACCCAAACCATTTAATGATTCTTCAAGCAGCACTATGTTTGGCTCTTGTTGATATGCAGTCTGAACAATGAGATTTATTTTTAAAGGTGGACTAATGAGGATCAACAGTCAAAACAACTTGGGGCTCAGACTCATGCTTTTGCCCCATCTGCCAGCACAGAGCATTTCGGAACTGAGGAATGCACCAGACCTCCATTAAATGGGTCAAAAATCCAGTTAAAAGGGAAGCCATAGTTTCAATTTAAAATTATTTCTGAGCAGAAATGCCCTGGTTCACAAGTGTCTGTGCTGTGCAGTGAGCATCTTGTCTATATTTGCTGCATAACAGGGGAAGACAGTTCTATTTCTACCTACCCATCAGAATTTCTCTATGCAACTTGAGTGAAGTTCAAGTCCAGTCATTCCAGTGAAATTCAATTCTGATAACCCAGTCATCCTCTGCTTTCACTATAAGCAGGATCAGGAAATAACCATTCTCCTGTTAGTGAAAGAGAAATGAAGTTATGCTAAATTTTAATATCCAGCTACGCGGCACATCTGGAGCACTGACAGCTTGGCTGGTCTCTAAGCAAGTGAAGCAGTAACATGGCTAAAGGCCAGTCCTGCGTTTTCATTTGTTGTTAACTTTTTCTGATTTGCTTGTTACTATGGCAGTGAGAAGCAGTCTCAAAGGAAGTTAAGCTTCTTCAAAGTATATGGCCCAGATTTGCTGATTCCATACAAGCATTGATTCCTTCTCAGAACACCTCTTCTTCAGACTCAAGCCACCAGGACAAGAGCTTGCAGCTGGTTCTGGCATCTCCAGCATCTGTTTTTCAGAGCAATTCTGTGAGTTTTAGGCTGTGCAGGTTAAAAAGACTACATGGTTTCAGAAAGCTCAAATAAATCTAAGATGGTGAAATTAGAGGTAGAACTTTGCAGAAGTAATAATACATTTCTGAGGTGTTGAAGGTAGTTTAGGAACTGGCTTGGAAATAATAACGTTTTGTAAATCAGGATGTCTGTTTACCTAAACAAGATGAGATGAATAACGAAAAGAGGAAGAAGGAAGGATAAATTAGAGTCTGATCTGAAAAAAACATGAACATGACTATTCACCATACTGGAAGTTTGAATGTGAAATGAACAGCACAGTTACATTTAACAAGGTGCACTCTTTCACCTTAATCTACTCCCAGCTTGGCAGTTTCCTCTTACCTGTGTCTATCCTCTGCTTTGCTTCTTGATGTTTGAAGCAATTGCTCTGGGAGCTCTCACCAGGGCAGTGCCTCAAGGCTTTTATAGAGTGTTTTAGCTCATTCCTTGATTTTTCTCCATGGGTCTTTACCTCATCACATTAATTTTACACTGTAGCTGGGGACCTTGGGTGGGTTTTTTGTGGGGGATTATTACATGCCTGTTGCCATTATGATTGATGCTGATAAACCACACATCTGCAGAAGTCTGGAGTTGCTTCCAGAGGATCTTATTTTATTCTTGAGTCCTGTAGTACATCTTGTTTGTGTGTCAGCCTGCATAGCAGACAGGAGAACTCCTGGCTAGATGAGAGTTCTAGCAAAGTTGGCCCTTATTCACGTGGATGTTATTAGTCTTAACTCTCTGTCATCTGAGCTATGCACTTTAAGGCATATCCCACCATCCAGTGCTCATGATTCTTCCTGAAAGCTGCCAGTAAACACTGGCTGTGTGATAGTGCAGACTTTCCAGTCATGCATGCTTCCATTTCTTCATCAAACCTGTCAGCAAAGCTCTATGGTCTTTTCAGAAAATCATGTGGTGTCTGCCTCATGATAAAAAGATGCTATCTTCAGTCCAAAAAATTTGTTGTTTAAAATATCAGCCCTTTGCATAAGCGACCCGTCCATATCAGCCAATACACAATGTGCATTGCCAGGCAAATGCTCTGCCTGGACACCTGGAGTGCCTGGAAGCATTTGGTCAGCATACATGGTGTGAGGTTTGGACAAAGCAGCCCCAGAAACGCAAGGACTCAGCTCACCCCTCTGCTGTTGCAGAAATAACCCAGGAACTGACTTGTGTTATGGATGCTGTGATGAGGCGAGCTGGTGAGTCAGGTCAACCACTGTGCTAAACACCAGATTGCCAAGAATGTGCAATGGAAATTCTCTGGTTGAATATCCTGTGAGTGGGTGGCTTGTCTGAAGAAACAAGAAACAAGCTCCCTTGAGTCTGAGAAAGGAGGAAAGTGGAGCAGGAAAGAGCAGTTCCTAGTGACTCAAGTTCCCTGTTCAGAACCGTAATTTAGGTCCTGTGGTTACCTTTATACTCCATGAAACGACATTTTGACCTCCAAGAAGGTGGCCGGTCTCTAACAGGACTTCATGGGCAATACCTTTAATTTTTGTGCACATAATATACAGGAGTTGGCAGAATAATCTGGCTTTCAGTGTGAGCCAGGTAATTTTGGTAACAAATTATTTGTTTTACAAACCTACTTCGAGAGCCAGAACTTACTGCAGCTGGG